ATATTTCGCTGCCACCAAAGATGTTCACTTGACCGCGACAGGATGCAAATGACTCACTTTTTGTTTCACGACCATACTGATGTTTTTACCATTGCGTGACATCCTCTGGAAAACCAAAAGTTAATGACACATTGTGAACTTTCCCGAGGAAATGAGTCATAAATAGTGAATAATACACGGGCGCGCGTAGATGCAATTTGGTTGATGGAATACAATTCAAGCTCGTGAAAAATTGCCTAATGTTCATGTAGTGCAATGATTGGGTATGTTGTAATGGACTTTGGACGTTGTTTTTATGGTACGTGATAGAACGTGAGTTGTTAGGCGCGTTCGTTGTGCGTAAAGGAGCCTTAAAAACACGTTTGACTTAAAAATAATACAAAAAATGAAATGCGAAACTTTCATGTCCCAATAAATCTCGACCTTAATTAGCGAGGCTCTCGCGAAGACCACAAACCACCACACTTATCAGATGAGCCCAAGATTTCTGGTCAATGTCATTCTTTGTACACAGCCCCCTGATCCATGACATCATTCATAAGAACATAGGTATGCGTAGCATGGGCGGGTTGAGATGGGACACTTTGTGTACCTAATGTTTTCATTTTTGTAACAGAAAAAGAGCATGACAAACGGACGAAAATATCGCGTTACTTCACCTTGAGAGAAAGAAAAAAACTTAATTTATCTGAACTCACACCACAAGCAGCCCAAGCTTCAGCTGCGAGATGATCATCTCGCGAAATAAGATTCATGATGATTTTTTCGGATTTTTCCTTTTTTTCTTTATCTGGCGGTGACATACCTGAGTATTTTTAGGAGCTGTGCCGTATTTTGACTTCCCCCACAGGCTCGTCAAATTCAAACAAAGAGTGAAAGTACTAGGCAATACTACACACCAATGAATAGTCTACTAGGTTATTTATGATCCAACTGCTTTTTTTTTCTACCAAGTCTTTCTGCTCATTTCTCATAAGGCGGGAAAAGCAAAGTGGATAGAGAAGCGCAGCATGCGTAGCCGACCGGTTAAACATGTTTTTTTACAGTACAAAATAACCAACTGTACACATGTGGTATATACATATATTCGCGTTATTTGAACTCTACCTTGTGCAGTTGGATTATAAAACCAAATTGTCTTGTTGTGCCCCTCACCGACGCAGCACCACAGTTTCCTTAGAAACTAAACCCATTTATTCATACGTTGTTAATTACAATGCCTGCAGCTGGTGCGAGGCCAAAAGCAACCAAAATATACTTAATAGACTGCGCTTGGAGAAGAAATCTCCCAAAAACTCGGCATACTTCGTCTACACATACCTTAGCATTACTAAAATACTTCTCGAGCGCTTCACATAACATTATTCTCTCACTTTCATACGATCTGATTAGCTATACTTTATTTTTATTATTTTTACATTTTTTTAAAATTATTTTGCATTTTTTCCAGTCTATCGAGTTCATGTTCCTTACAAAGCCGTTTTCTTCTTTATTTGTGTTCTTTGTTTGAAAGAAATTTGATCATATGAATTAACGTTTAAGTGTTTGACGTAAATGAAATACCGTATGCATAAATCAATTGATTGAACAGCTCGTTAAAAAGAAATGTGTAGCAGCGAGAGAGGAGAATTAACAATCAGATCTTGGGAGTTAAGGGGTTTAAGTCTTTTGAAGTGATAGAATTATCATTAGCTCTTCGGATTAGACAGAGATACTCTACTAGATTAAAAGATAGATTTGTAAAGAATCCTTTGAGGGTGGTATTTATGCGTTGATAACGAAAATCTGGAAAGGAGATAATTAATATGACATGAGCCCCAAAAGATGTTTGGCGAAGACGTACATGAATCAACAAAAAGATCTTCCTCGGTGTTACTTCCTAGTTCCCAGAAAAGAGTATGCGTAGCCTGCATGCTGAAGTTTTAAACTGCTCTCCCCTATGAAGGAGACTGTCAGCGTAGCTCAGTTCAATGAAAAATAGCTTTGTAAAATTAGTTTAAAACATTTCCACTCGTTTTCTACTTACTTTGAATTAGAAATGTGAATTCAAACTTCCTGTGTCCTTAGAGATAGATTATGAACGCAGTCTCGTCTGGCTACCACGATCGCAAAACACCTTAGCGAAAATTGTTTCTTGTTGCTGTTCACCTTCCTCGAGTGTAACATCAACGACACCACTGTCTTTTACCGCACCTACAAGAGTGGGCATCTCCACTTGTCCTGTTTGCAGTTGATTATCAAGGACATTCGTCTCAACCATACCAGTTACTTCCTGCAGGCCACTGAGGGGGAGGAGCAGGGCCAGGAAGCAGGGGAGGGACCACTGTGGATTTTTTCGCCATTCCTTGAGCTATCCTTACAAATGCAGGACTGAACTAAAAATTAAGATGTATGGGAATGATTTTCAATTCAGAAAACTGTTGTTTTGCTTTTCAAAAAAAATATTTTCAACCTGGCAACAATAGAGGAATATCTTCCATAAAGTAATGACATAAGCACAAACAGATGACTTTTGCCAGTTCAAGTCAAAGTGACTCAGAATAGCTACGATCTCATCTTACTTTATTATTTTACTATTATTTCTTAATCCCGACCGACAAACCAAGAACACGACACAATGACTTAGCCAGGTCTCGAACCCAGACCTCTTGACCCGGAGTCCAGCACACTAACAATTACGCCATCGTGTCTCCCTCATAGGGGTAAAATCACGTGATTAATATGGTATTTTTGTTGATAGCCAACAGGATCGGATATGAGGAAGACGCGTAACATGTAAATCGCTTTTTAAGAATCTGTTAGCTTGGTCAATCGCTAATAAGCCCATGTAAGGCAGACGACGAATTAGGTTTTAAAAGCATATGGAAGGAGATAAAACATCTCTTGTTTGACTGTGGTGAAACCTCAAGAAAAATAAGTCCTTACCGGGTACACCTATGTGTTCAATATGATTCCCTTTCTTCGCGGCGAATTACGTCCGTTCGTTTTCTCTCTGGCTGTCGCTAGATGCAGTTCAAGACCATGCAAAAGACCAGGGTGTTAATACAGAATCAACAAATTGATCTTTTTATTTTTGAGAGAACGTGAGAAAATACATGTATTCATGCCAAGTCTAGACGTGAAAAAGTAAACAGAAGTAGTTATATTTCCTGTCAGTTCCTAGCTATATTTGCCCTTCGTCTACAATAAGACAGCAAGTATTCAAATGAGCCAAAAAAGTTGAATTGTTACTCTAGCAGTAATGAATATTTCAGCTACTATAACATCTCTGTCTATATACCTTAGTGTACCTCATTGTATCAGGAGCCCATTCCTGACTATATTCAATGCAATTTGTGTCGTATTTCTTTATCGGATGGTGTTCAATTCACTCTTTTTTTTTACAGTAAATGAAAAGTAAACAATTTCTATCAGCCAGAAATTAACAAAGCGTTCCTAACCTTGAGTTCACTTAAATACGTTGTCCTCAACTCAATTTTAAAACTGTGACATGGCGACAAAATTGACTCTCTCTTCAGCATTACTCTTTTCACCATAGAGGAGGGAGGGGGGGGGGGGGGGCTTCAGAAAACATCCCAGCTAGGAGTCGATCAGATTTAAAATCTCAAATCGATTTGCTTTCCCTCGTAAAATAGAGAGGCGATCAAAAACATGAATAAGACCCAATTCCTTTGTAATTTGTGTCTGATCTGACTCCCCTCCCCTTGTACACTCTAATTGACCAAATCATTTTTTATCCCCAGAACTAACCTTACACCTAATACTTATATTAAGAGTGAAATTTCCTCTACAGAACAGTCGAATTTAAGGTATCTTTTCGCTTCCGAAAGCTTAAACATTCGGAACTGCTTTGAAGTAAGCTGAAGACTGTAGACTGCTAAACCTACGGGGAGACTATGTCATTATCAATCAGCTAAATTTTTTCAAATTAGCGGAATTCATCACTTGCGTCCCCGTCTCACACTGAGAAATAGTATTAGAAATAACCCGCCGTTAAGAACTAGAAACTCAGCATAATTTCCTGTCTCGTTGGTATATATATATTTGTAAAGCATATAAACCATCCTTTATATACTTTACAAATTTGCATTATAGGCGTGGCGGTAGGTTAAACTTTTTTGTTCAATTGAGGACACGAGTTCATAACGTTTATTGAGTGGTGAGAATTCAGGTCGGCAGATGATAAGTAATTTTTCTTTGAGGTAGAGGTTGAACCTCTACCTCGAAGAAAAATTACTTGCTGACCTAACTTATGACCGCAAAGAATTTGTAATTCATATCCAAATGTCGCAGCTTTCGATAATTTTAGATGTAAAAGCTATTAAAATTTTTCGGTTTGATATATTTAATTAAGAATTAATATACTTCAGAATTATCAAAAAATTCTCATATGACATTGATCTTAAATGTTGCTATTAAGAAAATTCGTCAGGTACATTAAAGGCTGTTATCACTGGATGTCGTTGACAACGGCACTGGAACGTAGAGTAAACATTTGGGTCTGAGTTCCTTTCACAGCCTTTAACAGTCCTTTTATTATATTTGTGTGCACTAGAGACGTCAGCAGAAAATAATGGAACAGTATTATTTATAGTTTCGAGTTACGCATCGCATTCGTTTCGAAAAACATCCGTCCTCCAAGTTTCCCCGCCGAGGCCGCCGGTGAATAAAATTAATGTATTGGCAGGGGCCCATTACCCGTAGCCTCCATATCAATTGTACTCTTGTGTCAACCCTGTCATGTATCTCTTTATTTTTAGAACTGAGATATGTGTGTGTGTGTCTCGTTGTGGATATTGCTAAGTCTCTTGATTTCTTTGTATAACTGGCAAAATGAGAGTAAAATTTATTATCTAAAGTAAACGTGAATCGAATTTCAATTATTCAGAATTGATAACGACGTTCATGAAAGATTTCAAGACATATTTCCCGCCTTTAAGAGTTTGAAACTCTAAGCCGTAATTAACTCTCGATCTCTGTATCTTCACGTCAGACGAGTCATGACTGTGCTGGAAAATGCTGTGTTTTCTTTATACGACGCAGAGGTTTTCATCAAGTATTTGAGGAACCTTGAAGAGAGACATAAAACATGGCCCGTGAGGCTGGAACATTTCGATGTATGTATTCTATTATGCCGATCAAGGCTACTTACGGGTACATATTGTTGTATAGCGCTGTATAATAATGTAAACTTCAGAAGAGGGAAGTATAGAGCTATCTAAGAGTACATATCGCTGTTTATGATCCATCAATTTTTTTTTGCTCGCGCACGATTGGTCTAAACTCACGCAAGTGACTAAATATCCCCCACCTAAAACTGGGTGATATCCGAGAATATAACCCAAGCGATATTCCCAAATTTGCAAATCTTACGTCCACCACGATAAGTCTTCGTTTCAAACTTAATTAAATTCAGGATAAGTTAGTATTATCATCTGAGTTGATTTCGTAAGCTGAAAGCTCACGTTTCGAGCGTTAGCCCTTTGCAATCGCTCTGACGAAGGGCTAAATCTCTTAATTACCCCCTTCAGTCATTCGATTCAGTAAGCTGTTCATAAAAATTTTCCACATGCGTTGTAAAATATTTGAAGGATAATAAACACAATAGCCTCTATTTTGCGAGAAAATATGTGCAGATATTTGTCCTTGGACATTGTCTGTCCCTCGAAGGTCTCAGTTTTCGTATCTTGGAACAGACAATGTCCGCGGACAAATATCCGTACTCATTTTCGCGCCAAATTGGAGAAATTATTTATATAGCGCTGTATGGTGATGTGAAATTCGGTGGAGGGAAGCATATGGCTATTTAGGGGTACATACTGTTGTGAAGCGCTATATGGTTACTGCATTTTACGGATTTACAGCGCTACTCAGGGGTTTAATGTTGTATTGTGCTGTATAATGATAAAAGTTGCAGTAGAGGGATGTATAGTGGTATTTATTTTTGGCGTGCGTATTCGAGGAGTTTATTCTACGACGTTGGGAGACATGGAGTCGAATGATCGACGGAACGTGTTTGCTCATAATGAATCTCAACTAGTCATCGACTATCTCTCTAAGCACTATAGTAACTTATCCTTTCTTAATCATTGTTTCGTCAAAACTCTTTTCCAGGGTCTTCTCTGCGTCTACATCCGAGATGGCGGCTACCGACTCTGTGGAGTCTGTGAATTGGCCTGCCGCTATCTTGGATTCGCAATGTAGGTGGACCCTGGGCGAGAGTTTGACCCATTCTCAATCAGATGATACATATCAAACTCATGGGGTACAAATAGTCTTAACATGAATGTAGTGACCACGCCCACTTCAACACCCCACTCAAATCGAGTGTAATTTTCGAATGTTTTACCATCGTGCGGATTCTCTACGGAAAAAGCACTCAATGTACCTCTGAAATATTAAAATTGTGGCTTTCTATTTCGCTTATTTTCTAACTTGAAGGTAAAGTTTTTCCCTCGTCATTTTTACCTTTTCTCCGAGCGGTTGCGTGAAATTAACAAGGCGTTTTTGATCAAAACACGACCGAGCGAAGGGTCTCGGGCGATATCTCTTTTACGCAGGCGCAAATTAAAAATGTACCGCCAGAATCAAAAAGAGGAACAAATTTCCTTTGTTTTGATATGTAAAGTGTCGAACAAAAAGCAGATTTGCCTTCGTCAAATGGCGTTTCAAAACAGCTGTATCTTCCTCCTTTTGATTTTTCCTGTTTTGTAAGCGTGAAAGCAGTAGGAGAGGGATCGGGAAACTCAGAAAGCGCTTCGGGAATTAATCTGCCATCGTTTACTTACAAGATAAACAAGTAAGATTTGTGAAGTTCGTTGAAGTATGAAGTCTAAATAAATGCCTTTTTAAAGCTTGTTTGCTGGATTTTTCGTAAACTTCCCTGATTAATTTTTCGTTTCAGCTTACTAGTCTATACTATTTCAAAGCAATGTCAAGACGAAGACGGAGAACCATGAGTCGGTCCTTTCAACAATCGTAAACAAAGTGTTTGGGCATTCAGGTATACGAGATGTAATAATCAATAGCCGCATATCAGAAGTCTTCGGAAAGAAAGTATTCTGTCTTCAGAAAGCTGTCAAGAAAGCTAATAATCGTGGCGGAAGGCAATTAAACGGGCCCTCGGTATCGATTTAATATCATATCGATCTCAATATTATACAGTTTTGTATCTTTCTTCCGTGGATTCGCCTTTCTAACGGGGGTTTATGTTGAGAATTCATTGCAAAATCGCTTTGTTTTTTTAATTTCCCTCTTTGACCTGTCCGCCATTTTGAAAATTCGTAACGGAGAGCATGCGCATTACGTGGGGTTAGTGGTTGCGTACACCTGGAACCGAGAAAAACAAATGTTCGTCGCACTGGGGAAAGAGTTTGATATGGAGAAGCCTTAATTTGGACATTGAAGGACTCGTTTCCAACAAAATGCACCGATTATGTCGCCGAGCCTTGGAGGGAGCTGTTCCGCTTTATAACTGCTACTATGATGAGAGGACTGAGGAGAGCAAACACTGGCACGTGAGACTTAAAACTGAGAGACCATGTGGCCTGGGAATGAGTTGAGGGGAAAACTGGGATTTTACTGGAGATGACTTAAAGAGGACACCATCCTAAAGTGGACAAAATAAGCATGATAACAACTACTATAGGGGAGTAAGGAGGTATACGAGTTGTAAGAAGCCTAACGTTGCGCGAGGATTGAGACGAGTGAAAACTAAAACAGACAAGGAGATAGTCGCGTCTAATGAAGCGTGCAGAAGAATAAAGTTGAGTGAGATGAAAGAAGTGCGCGTAAAGATGGGAATAAAGGAAAATTGCGATTAAAAAAGGGAAGGAACCAAAGGAAGGAGAAAACAGATGCGAAAATATGAAAAGGTTTAAAAACTTGTGCGAGGAAAAAGGTGAAAAAGGCGCTCACATGTATAGCATGAACACGTCCGTCGGCGTTCAAAACCGCGTGAGAATATGGAGAACGATAGACAGTAAAAGAAAATAATCAAAAAGACGACGCGCGTTTGTTAAATGGGTGGGGGCTTGAAACATGGAATGTTTGTACCCTGTCAGCTACACAGATTATCAACTTAGCGCGCGCGAGTCAAAACAACCATTGAAGTCCACATAGGATTTGTTATCTCTGCATCTCACGCGAATCCTTAGACAAACGATGAAAATCAACGCAGTTTTTGTATTTTATACACTGTATATTTCTCTTACACAAAGAATAGAAAAAATAAAGTACAAAACAAACTGCATTAAATTGTCCAAGGCTTTAAGTAAAATACGCGCTCAACTGAGACACTAAAATGAATCCATTTACTCCCAAGACTGATTATAATTTAAATTCTCCTCACAAAATTAATACACCGACAAACATGGTGTCCATACGATTTAGAGAAGATCTAAACTGGGGGATAACTTTTTGCTAGAAACGTAATATTACATCGAATTCTCGGAATGAAGCAACAAAGAAACATTCTTATCAGCTGAGAGAATTTTTCCTCAGAACTTGGGAGTTCATGAGTTAATTAAACTAAGCTGAATGAACAATTACCTTCAAAAATGATACAATACTTCACACAAATAGCATCAAAATACTTCGCACGAAATATATTGACATATTACAAAGCATATTTTGTTAAAACTGTTCCAGCTTGCTTTTAAAATCCTACGCTACATTATACTCAAACATGTGCAAGGTTAACTAGTACATTATATACCAGCATATACCTATGGAAGTAACGAAAATCTGCTAAATTAAGATTGATTTTACAAAACTTTCTCCTTAAAAAGCTTTTATACAGTACTATCTTAAACTTTTTACCACATAACGGGTTTGAATTACAAAGCGTACTCTAAATATCTAAGTATAAATTCTTAAATCTAAGAAAGATATTATCAGACATCTTCAATTTGTACTAAGGTAAATTTAAAGAAATGGAAACAATTTGAACAGGAAATTTTCAAAAATTAAAAGTTTTATCCTGAGGCCCTGAAACTTTTCAACTACGGACTAGATTTACAATTATTCACGAACCTTTTCACCAAAATAATTCTCATTGAGGACTACATGGCTTATTGTAACTATACCTCTCTAATTTATTGGCGTAAATATTTTCCTACTGGAAACAACGAATTCCATGTCACGTTAAAAGACACAGCTATGGAAACTTCAGTTACAGTGAACTCTGCGTCGCTGTTTCTTTGTTTAGATTACACGGCAATTTTTAACCTCTCCGTCGTGGTTCTTCAAAACTGATGAGGGTGGAGATTCACAACTGTGTAGCTGTGTCTTGTTGTGGGTATTGCTCAGTGCCTTGATTTCTTCGAATAACTGGCAAAATGGGAGTAAAATTTATTATCTAAAGTAAACGCGAATCGAATTTTCATTATTCAGAGTTAATAATAATATTCGTGAAAGATTTTGTTTCAGACTTTTTGGAGTCCAACCCAAAAATTCAAGGCATGTTCCCGCCTTTAATTAAGAGTTTGAAACTTGAAGCCGTAATCAACTCTCGATCTCTGTATCTTCACGTCAGATGAGTCATAACCGCACTAGAAAATGCTGTATTTTCTTTAAACAACGGCGATTTTTTCATCGAGCATTTAATGAACCTTGGAGAAAGACATAAAACATGGCCCGTGAGGCTGGAACATTGCGAGGTATGTATTCTATTATGCCGATCAAGGCTACTTACGGGTACATATTGTTGTATAGCGCTGTATAATAATGTAAACTTCAGAAGAGGGAAGTATAGAGCTATCTAAGAGTACATATCGTTGTTTAGAAAGGTTCTAGAAAATGCGGTATTTTCTTTAAACAACGGCGAGGTTTTCATCGAGCATTTAATGAACCTTGGAGAAAGACATAAAACATGGCCCGTGAGGCTGGAACATTTCGATGTATGTATTCTATTATGCCGACTAAGGCTACTTAGGGGTACATATATTTGTATAGCGCTGTGAAGTAATGTAAACTGCAGAAGTGGGAAGTCTGGTGCTATCTAGGGGTGCACATTGTTGTATGGCGCTGTATTATGATCTAAACTTCAGAAGAGGGAAGTATAGAGCTATCAAGGGGTGCACGATGTTGTAAAGCGCTGTATAATAATGTAAACTGCAGAAGAGGGAAGTATAGTGCTATCTAGGGGCACATAGCGCTGTATTGTTATGTAAACTGCAATAGCGGGAAGTATAGTGCTATCTAGGGGTACACACTGTTGTTTATGATCCACCAAGTATTTTTTTCGCACGCGATTGGTCTAAACGCAGCAAACTGGGTTATATCCGAGAATATCACCCAAGCGATATTCCCCAATTCGCAAACCTTACGCCCACTGTGAAAAGTGTTCGTTTTAAACTTAATTCAATTCAGTGAGCTGTTCATAAACATTTTTTGCTCGAGCGTTGCAAAATAATTGAAGGATAATCCACACAACAGCTTCTATTTTTCGCGAAAATATGTACAATATATAATATGATATTTGTCCTTGGACATTATCTGTTCCTTGAAACTCACAGTTTTTGCATCTTGGAACAGATAATGTCGGCGGACATATATCCGCACTTATTTTCGCGCCAAATTGGGCCAATAGTAAAAATTCAGTTAAGGGAAACATTGTGCTAATCTATGGGTACACATTGTTGTCAAGCGCTGTATAGTTGTATAAACTGCAGTTTACGGATGCACAATGTATTGAGGAATGTTTAGTATGGTATGGTGCTGTATGTAGATTTTAGCTGCAGTTTACGGATTAACAGAACTACCCAGCGGTATATTGTTGTATTGTGCTGTATAATGATAAAAGTTGCAGTAGAGGTATTTATAGTGCTATTGAAGGGAGGGGAGAGAGGGGCATATAGACGTGCGTATTCGAGGAGTTTATTGTAACGATAAGGAGACATGGAGTCGAATAATCGACGGAACGTGTTTGCTCATAATGAATCTCTCAAGTTGACATTGACTACCTCTTAGGAAGTATTATAGTAACTTATCCTTCCTTTTAAAATTATTGTTCTGTCAAAACTTTTTTCCAGGGTCCTCTCTGCGTCTACATCCAAGAAGGCGGCTATCGACTCTGTGGAGTCTGTGGATTGATCTGCCGCCATCTTGGATTCGCCATGTAGGTGGACCCTAGGCGAGAGTTTGACCCATTCTCAATCAGATAATAGAAGAAGCTTTAATTTGGACATTGAAGAAATCGTTGAGGGAACTCTTTTGCTTCATTACTGCTACTGTGACGAGAGGACTGAAGAGAGCAAATACTAACACGTGAGACTTAAAAGTGAGAGACCCTATGGAATGGGAATCAGTCGAAAGGAAAACTGAGATTTTACTAGAGATGACGTTAAGAGGACACCATCCTGAAGTGGACAAAATAAGCATGATAACAACTACTCTGGGAGAGTAACGAGGTATATGAGTTGTAAGAAGCCTGACGTTGCGCGAGGATTGAGACGAACGAAAACTGAAACAGACAAGAAGATAGTTGCGTCTTATGAAGTTAACAGAAGAATAAAATTGAGGGCGATGGAAGAGCTGCGCGTAAAGATGGCAATAAAGGAAAAATACGATGTAAAAAAGGGAAGGAACCAAAGGAAGGAGAAAAAAGGGATGCACAAATGCGTCAAGTTGTAAAAACTTGTGTGAGGAAAAAAGGTAAAAAAGGCGCACACAGTATTAACACGTCCGTCGGCGTTCAAAACCGTGCGGAAATATGGAGAACGATAGACAAAGGAAGAGACACAATCGAAGAGACGACGAGCGTTTGTTAAGTGGGTGGAGGCTTGAAACATGGAACGTTAGGACACTGTCAGTTGCACAGATTATCAACTTGGCGCGCACGAGATGAGATCTGTTCTCTCTGCATCTCACGTGAATCCCTAGAATAAGGAGACAGACAATGAAAATCAACTCCGCTTTTGAATTTTATACACTGTATATTTCTCCTACACAAAGAAGTAAAAAAAATAAGTACAGTAGCAACTGCATTAAATTGTCGAAGGCTTTAAGTAAAATACGCGTTAAACGGAGACACTAAAATGAACCCATTTACTCCCAAGACTGATCATAGTTAAATTCTCCTCTCAAAATTAATACACCGACAAACACGGTGTCAATAGGAATTACAGAAAATGAAAACTGGAGGATAGTTTTTTGCTAGAAAGGTAATGTTACATCGAATTCTCAGAAAAATGCAACAAAGAAACACATTCTTATCAGTCGGGAGAATTTTGTTCAGAACTTGGGAGTTCATGAGTTAATTAAAATAAGGTAAATGAAAAATTGTCTTCAACTACAAATAAAAATAGCATCAAAACACTTCATACAAAATACATTGACATCATACAAAGCATATTTAGTTGAAACTGTTAAAATTTAAGAAAGGTATTATCAGACATCTTCAAATTATACTGAGGTAAATTTAAAGTAATGCAAAAAATTTGAACAAGGAATTTTCAAAAACTGAAAGTTTTATCCTAAAGCCCTGAACCTTTCCAACTAAGGACTAGATTTACATTTTTGTTCATGAACCTTTTAACCAAAAAAAATCCCCATTATTGACTACATGGCTTAATTCATCTGCTTCTCCAATTAATTAGCGTTAATATTTTCTTACAAGAAACAGCAAATTCCATAGCACATACATTGGAAGTCACAGCTATGGAAACTTCAGTTACAGTGAACTCTGCTTCGCTGTTTCCTTAGATTACATGGACAATTTTTAACCTCTCGCCGTAGTTCTTTAAAACGAAAAGATTAGTGTTTGATAAAACGAACTAGAACTGACGAAACTCGTTCGATTAAAAACAAGGTTGTAGCCAGCTTTTGACTTGTTATAGGCCTGTTCCTTAAGAAAGTTCAATTTTTGTTTCAACATTTGCAAGAGTCAGATCATAAAAGCAAAGCGGGCGGAATACAATTGTAGGCCGGGCCTACGGGACTAGAGGCTGGCTACACCCCTAAAAGTAGGTCTAATGTCGGTAACATATGGTCAGTAAATTCAATAACATTATGTGTGATGTTTACTTCTTCAAATGAAGCTTAGAATGGCAATCTTGGCTCTGATAAAATTAGATTGCATTAGAATAGATTGAAAAAAATATTAGTCAATTTCTCTTGTGAAGATAATCTCAAATTGTCACAAAGTAATTTATGATGTAGAGAAATCACCCAAGTTTTATTAACATATTGCTGCAAATTTTGCAAATCAAACTTTTGGAAGTAACAATTTGGCCAACTTTTGCAAATGACGAACTGTTTCTTTGCTTATCAAACGCTTAGAGTATAAAGGTAATTAAAACCCGGTGAACAAGCTCATGGTTATGTAAAAGAAAAAGCCTTTAAATTGTTTCCATAAAACTGATTGTGATACAGGAATAGAGCTGGGTGTCATTTTGACGAAAACAAAAACCTCGTAATCTCCTTCAACTACTGTAGGCATTCATAAGAGAGGCCTTGTTACATTTCGTTCTCTTTGTAAGCAGTTAAATTTTAAAGGTAATTAAAAAGTCAATTCCACTGATCAAAACATTTGAAATAGACTGTTTTTATTTCTTCATCAAGGTAGAGTTACACATCTCAAGTTCCATTTAACAAAAAAGTAAAATGCAATGAAAAATGGCTAAAAATTCTCAAAATATAGAAACATTTAAGCTGTCCAAGTTCCAACGTCATTTTTTTTGGGATGAGAAAAAAAGACAATTTTCATTTATATGATTTTACATTTAAATTTTCTCCTCCCTTTGCCATGAAGTTAAGAGTGACGTCATCTCCAATCAGCAAAAAGGGCGCCCAGTGTTTGATGTCGCGGAACTTGTCCGATTCTCTGAGGCTTTTCATGGCCAGGTTCAGTGACTCGCTTGCAGGTTTACCTTCTGCAAGGTGTTGATAAAAGCATTTCATGAACTCAAGAGTAGCCTCGTCATCAATCGCCCACAGGGATACCACAACAGACCGAGCACCAGCCCCCATAAAAGCGCGCGCAATGCCAACCACACCTTCAGCCTTGATCTCGCCCCGGCCGCTGTGGCAGCAACTAAGCACCACAAGTTTGGCCCGAAGTTGAACACTCGACACATCTCCAATTGTTAAAATGAAATCCTCCTCCGTTGGCACAGTAGATATTCGGTCTGGGTTAGGTGTAAGAGCAATTTCGCCAGTTTTCATACATCCGTGTGCCGCAAAGTGAACTAAGGAAACGGAACCGAGTCTTTTTAACACCTCACGTTTCGTGGCCTGACTACCAGTGATTGGCTTAATATTCAGAATTTTTCCGATCATTTCTACTTCTTCTTTAGCACCCGGAAGCTGCTCGAGGACTTTCTCTCCATTGCCATCAGTAACCTCGGCTACCCACGGATCTCCTACAAGTAACGCACCACTGCTTTTGTGATAATCATCGGGGCAATCGGCAATGAGTCTAAGACTTGTTAAAGATGGAGCGAGTCGAATTATGAACGATTCACACAGGTATTTGGAATTACCATCCTTCAATGCAGCGTAAGGAGCGAGCCAAAGGGGTCCATCGGGAATAATGAGGAGCTCATCCCCTTCAAGCAAGTCAGCCACCGGCTTCATAACGGTATCATACAAAGTGCTTAAGCATTCATCTTGTTGGATGGGAAGCTGAGGGTTATCTTCTTTAGTTTCCTCATCCACTTCTGACTGGTTCTCCCTCAAAGCATCCAAAGATCGATTCTCGCATTTCACATTAAAACGAACACCAAGTTGCCTATAGGCACCGTGCATGAACGACTCAAAGGACTGGCTGGTTCCACTATTCTCTGAAACAAAACTTTTGAGTTTACTTTGTCTTAACTGAACATGATTTCCTTCGGACACAACCCAAAGATTGATGTCAGTTTGGTCCACTGCCTGAAAGACAGTGTTTAATGGAACGTTTTTTAGAACTTTTAAAAAACGTTTCATCCAAATCGATGGAGATATAGCAGTGACTTCTAAATCTTCATCGCCTGTCTTGTGCTGACCTGTTCCACCACAAAAACTGGATTCCATGAGGTCGGTCAGAGCTTGAGCTCGCCCTTTCTCAGCAACAAATAAGGCTTCATCTACATTACCTTGTTCTACGAGAACTCTCCACAAACCCGTATACGCCATTTGATGCTGATTTCGAAAATTAACTTTCCACTCATCTTTAGATTTTAGAAGTACTCTCAAGGAATCGAATAAGTTTATGCTAGCTTGATAATGTTCAACGGCTTTTGGCAGTCCACCTTGCAACTCAAAAACGTTTCCTAGTGAAAAGTAGGCCATTGCCTCAAAGGATTTGTCTTCTACTTCTTTAGCTATTTTAAGAGCTAGGTTGTGGTACTCTATGGCTTTTTTGAAATCACCCAGACGGCGATAAGCATTGCCAAGATTGTAATAAGAAGCACCCTCCCCATGCTTGTCTCCTACTTCTTTAGCTATTTTAAGATGTGGGTTGTGGTACTCTATGGCTTTTTTTAAATCACCCAGACGGTCATAAGCATTGCCAAGATTGCCATAAGCACTACCCTCCCCATGCTTGTCTCCTACTTCTTTAGCTATTTTAAGATGTAGGTTGTGGTACTCTATGGCTTTTTTTAAATCACCCAGACGGTAATAAGCATTGCCAAGATTGCCATAAGCACCATCCTCCCCATGCTTGTCTCCTACTTCTTTAGCTATTTTAAGATGTAGGTTGTGGTACTCTATGGCTTTTTTGAAATCACCTAGACTAGTATAAGCATTGCCAAGACTGCCATAAGCGATACCCTCCCCATGCTTGTCTCTTACTTCTTTAGCTATTTTAAGATGTAGGTTGTGGTACTCTATGGCTTTTTTGAAATCACCCAGACGGCGATAAGCATTGCCAAGATTGCCATAAGCACCACCCTCCCCACGCTTGTCTCCTACTTCTTTAGCTATTTTAAGAGCTAGGTTGTGGTCCTCTATGGCTTTTTTGAAATCCCCCAGACGTTGATAAGCATTGCCAAGACTGCCATAAGCAGCACCCTCCCCATGCTTGTCTCCTACTTCTTTAGCTATTTTAAGATCTAGGTTGTGGTACTCTACGGCTTTTTTGCAATCACCCAGACTAATATAAGCATTGCCAAGACTGCCATAAGCATTACCCTCCCCATGCTTGTCTCCTACTTCTTTAGCTATTTTAAGATGTAGGTTGTGGTACTCGATGGCTTTTTTGAAATCACCCAGACGGTCATAAGCATTGCCAAGATTGCCATAAGCACCACCCTCCCCATGCTTGTCTCCTACTTCTTTAGCTATTTTAAGATCTAGGTTGTGGTACTCTATGGCTTTTTTGAAATCACCCAGACGGTCATAAGCAATGCCAAGATTGCCATAAGCAGCACCCTCCCCATGCTTGTCTCCTACTTCTTTAGCTATTTTAAGATCTAGGTTGTGGTACTCTATGGCTTTTTTGAAATCACCCAGACGGTCATAAGCAATGCCAAGACTGCCATAAGCGTTACCCTCCCCATGCTTGTCTCCTACTTCTTTAGCTTTTTTAAGATATAGGTTGAGTTTCTCTATGGCTTCTTCTCCCCAATTATAGAGATCTATGACTTTCTTGACATCACCTGAACTTGCACTACCGTGGTCATGACTAATAGGATCTTTTTCCTCCATGGACTTATCTCCCACTCCACTGACAGACTGAAGTCTTAATGAAAACAAGATCCTATTGTTTTTGTCAATCTTTTTTATGTTGAGGGTAAAAAATGTGGAAAGAACAAAAAAGATAATGTTCCTGATCATATTGATATGTTATAGTCCATTTTAACATTTGCGTGCTTGGTTCCCAAGCCTCTGAACAAGAGGGATGATAAAGGGTGACCTTGTTATGATAAAAACATTGCAGCTTTTTAAATGCAAACTACTTTGTTATTATCGTTTCTAGACAAATTTGGTCTGGAAATTAAAGGGTTATTTAAACTAATGTAACAGTTATTGGCATGGATAGTAGAACTAAGTCAAATTGGCTAAAAGGAGTAATTTCATTAATATGTCATGAGGTAATAACGTCTCCTATATTTTTAATCACACACACTTAAAGTATATGAGCTGACAAGTTCCCATCATCTTTGTATTTTCTCCCTTGAAACATCAAATTGTGGAAACTTTTTTTTTATACCCACGGTTAAAAATGAACGATTCCTTCAAAGGATACAACTAGTCCCTTATCACACCAACTGATTGCTTCTTCAAATCTCTTCAATTCAACACAAGCAGTGGCTCCTGTAGGCAACAACACAAAGAAGCATACTATTACTGTAGCTCAATTCTGAGAAAAGAACCTGAAACCATTGAAATCATTACAGACCAGAAGAAAGAAAAAGACAAAACAAAACAAAACAAAAAAACTAAACGGAAAAGAATAAACAGGCCCTATTAGGTTTCAGTTAGATTTATTTAGCTTTACAGACAACTGAAACTTCTAAGAACACTTAAATTGGGATCAACAACTCCCACAAAAACACTAAGAGTTAGGTAAGTCCTGATCCTTCTTTCTAAAAAACAGCTAGATAGTGACTTAAAAGCGTGTCCACGAGAGCACCGGGTGGTCGTGCTACATGCCATCTCACCGATTTCAATGAAACTTTGTCAGTTTAAAGGCTCTACCCCAAAACTAAAAAAAAACAGACTGGTTTCTGTTTTGGTTTTTTTCCGTGGGGAGATAGACCACCCCCTGGTTTTTCTTGGTTTTCACTAATGAAATCGCTTCAAATAGGTAAAATATATGAAGCTCTCACTGCGATGGTATTTAACTGATATCTTTGAGGATTTGCACACAAATTTTTACATCCTTAGTTAATGGCCGCCGCGAGCATCAGTCAGTTTGATTGACGGCTTGTCAATCAACAGAGGCAAATATACGGCTGTGTTTTTAGACTTTTCGATTCATCTAAATATTTTACAACTTTGAGGTCAAATATCTCCCGTTGCCAGAAAGCTACAACACTAATCTTAATTACCCTTTATAACCCATCATTTCATCTCTGAAAATCATCAAAAAAATCTTTGGGCACTACCGTATTTTTGTCTTGGATACCTTTTAAAATCTGCGATTGTGACAAGTTTCTCTCAACTACACCTGTCACGCACTTCTTGCTCTAGGCGGTCACTTGACAAAATAAAACTACATTTTTTAGTTCTTTATACAAGATGATTGATCAAGAAAGGTGAAAAATGTTAAAAACGTTCGAGATTTTTTGTAGGAATGGAAAATTTCACGTTTAGAGAGATGCATGTTGACGAAAAATCAATGGGAAAATCGTTGCGTTTCTTTCTTCAGTCGTTTATTACTTTCAAGATTTGCTAAAATCAGGACATAGGGCTCTTGTACAGAACAAAACATTCATTAGCCTATGCTTTGATCGTCTATTATCATTATCGCACAGTTTACAATAACGAAACTGTAACAGGAGAGGAGATTTTAAAGTTGCATGTCGCCTGCTTGTTGACGTACAAGTTCCCGAGTGTAACAACTTCGGCTTTTCCATACCGCGAATGACGGGAAACTCTGCCCCCCTTATTTGATACAAATAACAATAGCCCCATAAATTCATTAATTACGCCATGTTTCCAGAAAATAAGACTGGAAAATGTTTTTTTCCACTTTCCACCATCAAGAAATTCCACGTATAGAAATAGTATTTTTAGGGTTACTGCGTGACTTTTCATGAGAAGTAAAAATTGTTCATCTTTTTTTTTCAAGAAGATACTTTTTTTTGACTGCAAATATCATTTGCATTTTCAATTATTTTCGCTGATTGTCATGGCCTTTCCTGCGTGCACGTGCGAGCTAGTTCATATACAGGACTCTTTCGAGTTTCTCTGGGTGGTGTCGGGCTTAGGTGTGTAGGTCTGGCTCGAAAGATATCTGCACGCTGCAACACGGGTTGCTATGTTTTCCCCTTTTTCTTCATTTGGATTTTCATTCTCTTGCTTGCATTATCACACATTTATGTTTTTTTATTCCCTCAGCGCGTTCCCTCAGATTTGGAAGTAGGCCATGAAAAGTTAATATTGACCAGAACTGAAATCCTTTTCTATCACTATTTGTTTCAGAGAACCCCCGTCATTTGTGACTTTATTTCTCAAGAAAATGTGTTTTTATTTGCTATTTATTTCCATTAGAACATGAAACTAGGTCCTGATAAGTTTTTTTGTCTCGTGACTCCCAAAAACTGTGTTTGCGACAACATCAATTGAGAAATCAAAGGCAATTACGCCTGAGAAATTCGCCTATAGCCTTCTACCCGCAGAAGGCTACTCCATATAATGAAACGTTCTAAGACCTCTATAAACTAGAGACATTGCGTGATGTTGAGGGGTGAAATATTTACACTAAATCTGTGACCCTCAAGCGGATCACGTACTCGTACATGCAAATGTAACGTCCGGAAAATGTCACGCATGTATAACACCGTAGGCGCACCTGGCGAATTCTATCCACTGGCTTCAATAGCAAAGAGACAACTTATTTACTATTTGTATATGAGCAAGCTTATTTACCCCTACTTGAAAAAATCCTTGATGTAGTCAACTATTTTCAGACGAAATGCGTGGGAGATAAATAAGAGACCAACTGGCACAGTTTGAAGCACCTCAGGGTCTCACTAGGCTCGTCACATTAGAAACCTTCAGCAAACTAATCGTAGAAGCGGGTGGTTATAAGCAACATGCACAGATTTCTGAGCGCGGGTTATCGCGAGAACTATACCCAATCCGTCATAGACGGAACAAGAAAGTGAGATATTCTTGCTAAAAGAAGGATGTATCAAGTCGTTTCAGTCACCGGCTGTCATCCAAATGCACCCTGTCAAAGACAAACACAGTGAAGCCGACAAAAAAATTCCGCCTAGGATAAGATCACGAGGAAATGGACTAAGACCGGCTTGCCATTCTATAGGGGATGGCTATGTTCAAGGTCGGACCTCAGGTAAAATTCTGACGAACAATCCCTAACTAACCAAGTGGACTTTGGATGGGCTCTTTGGAAAACACAAAAAACAGCCACCTTTTCTCAGAAAGCAGAGAATTATCTCCTAGACGTGTGCTGAACAAGGGAGGAAACTAGTAAGGCAACTGCCTCTAATATGACTTCCCAAATATCGAGTTTAAGAGACGACACCGGCCAGAAATGTTGTCTAAGACTTACCGGTTGATACAGCAGCAAATCGCTCGATACTTCAGCTGGTTATCTGCCGTAACAAAAATTGCTTTATTGATGAGGTCCCCCTCTGTAAATATGAATGAGGACGGAGAGGCCGATGCCAATGATCTAGCTACAGAATTCGAAACTGACCGAACAAGGCAGAAGATAAGGAGAGACCTTGCAAAATTTAGACGAAGACTGCAGGAGAGGGTACATCTGCTATTAAGCTAAAAAAAAAAAGGACATTTGCATTACACTTTTCTTTCATATTTATTGTCTTTGCTCACGAAAACAACTGGCCATGTCTTGGGATTTCATCAAGGGAAATTTGCAGGAAGGCTACTCGTCAAATTACTGCTGGCTCATTCTTATTTAAAAATTTCATTTAAAAAAGTCACTCAATTAAACGCCGGCAACACTCGATCTAGAGAGATGTAGATTTATAAGTAGTAATAGAATGCTTGAAAAAAATATGCAGATATTTTACGATCGAAGCAGGTAAATAATCATAGAGATCTGCAGATTATTCTGAAATTGTTATCTAGCAGACAGCATGAACAACGCGCTTGAATAATTCCCACGGAGAGTCTTCGGGTCACACAACAGATGTTATCATAGCGGAGTTCTGCATGTAAATGTTCGATGGCGGTAAGTGACAACGACAACACTATTTGAATTTTATTTTCGGGATAGAAGCACAGTTTTTATTCCGATAGAAAAATTTATATTTGCTCTCGAGCGAGAGCGCAGAATTTCTCGTCTGTGAAAGCCGAAGTTGTAGCACACTGGAACATGTAGTAATATCAGCCAACACGCAGCATGTGACTTTAAAATCTCCTAAAATGAGCAATGATGATGATAAACAATCAAATTATAGACTAATGAATGTTTTGTGCCGTACAAAATTTTCCCATTGATTTTCCGTCTGTCTACATGTATCTCGAAAGTTTTTCACATTTTTCACCTTTCTTGATCAATCATCTTGTATAAAGAGCTAAAAAATATAGGTTTATTTTGTCAAGTGACCGCCTAGAGCAAGAATTGCGTGACAGGTGTAGTTGAGAGAAACTTGTCACAGTCGCAGATTTTAAAAGGTATCCAAAGGTAGTGCCCAAAGATTTTTTTGATGATTTTCAGAGATGAAATGATGGGTTATAAAGGGTAATTAAGATTAGTCTTGTAGCTTTCTGGCAACGGGAGATATTTGACCTCAAAGTTGTCAAATATTTGGATGAATCGAAAAGTCTAAAAACACAGTCGTATATTTGCCTCTGTTGATTGACAAGCCGTCAATCAAACTGACGGATACTCGCAGCAGACATTAACTAAGGATGTAAAAATATGTGTGCAAATCCTCAAAGTAATCAGTTAAATATCATCACAGTGAGCGCTTCATACATTTTACCTATTTGAAGCGATTTCCTTGGTGAAAACCTCGAAAAACCGGGGGGATGGTCTATCTCCCCCCGGAAAAAAAACCAAAACAGAAACCAGTTTGTCTTTTTGAGTTTTGGGTAGACCCTTTAAACTGGCAAAGTTTCATTGAAATCAGTGAGATGGCATGTAACAGGACTGCCCGGTGCTCTCATGGACATGCTCTTAACATATCTGACACCTGTGACTCATTGAACTTAAGGAACTACAATATTCATGCTGAAATTTTGCTTTACATTCCGCATTGAGTTCTTCAGCCCGTTCAAAATAATATTCTCATCATGATTAATGGAAAGTATTGGCGTAGCAGTCAAGAACTGGATTCAAATGTACATCAGGGTGGTCTCGACCTCTTTATTAAAGTCAATTGAGACAAGATTGAACTCCATTTAACCTCATTTAACCTTAGAGTGTTGAGTTCTTTTTTTATTATCATTATTATAGCACAGCTAACATATCTAACCTCTCACAATTGCTTTAAGGAAAGTTGGATTTAACTCAATGGCTGCTTCTGCATCCCTTAGTGAATCCTGGTGATTTCCTGTTATTGAAATAAATATCTCTGATTAGCCATACATGTTGCAAACCAACTACCACTACTATAATTTTGGGAAAAACTTGTGATGCTCATTGGTATCTGGGGTAAGAGGTTACTTCTTTGTATATTTGAGAGGCCAAGATAAGATGTAAATTTTTCCGAACATGCATTCAAACTTATCACCTTTTTCAGAAAACTACTACTGACAACTCAATAGCTTCAAAACAGAAAAAAAAATGCATATTAAAGCTCTCATCATCTTACCAAGTTTAAAATGTGCAATTGCCCTGTTGTTGTACAGTTTGGCCTTCAGTTCTTTGTCATTGCAGTTCATTTTAATTCCTTTGGTGTAAAAATGAATAGCATTGATGAAATCTCCTTTCTTGAAGGCCTCATTACCCTCATTCCTATAAACATTAGCTGTGGCTGCAAAGAAAAAATAAAATAATTCAGAAAAAAATAAAAGAAAAAATAAAATAATTTGTGTCAAAGTCTGTGGTCGTAGTTAATAATTATTCGTGTATAATCAGAGCTGCCAAGATCTGGAGATTTAAAATCTGCAGATTTTCAATAGTTATGATGATGCTAATGATGTAGGTGACAACATGGGTAAGAATAATGATGAGAATTATAAGCATCACTCAACTTGAGGCAAACCCCTGGGCATTTAAATTTTTGGATAGGTTTCCTAAAAATCCTATTCCCTGAGCAAAATTAATAATGTGGTCAAATGCACCACACAATTTTTATGTAAAAAGCGAAATAATTAGCAATTTGAGTTTCTACTAATTGATCAAGCTTAAAAACTTATTTCTTAGCCTTATTTCTTCTGAGCCATTTGTTAGTGAAAGTGCACCATCTACCTTTAAAACACCCCCATATTCAATGACAATTAACACTTGTATTCTACTGGAAATTAGATGTGATGGTTTTTATTCAAATTCCCTAATGCCAGTCAGGCAGGGTTAAACCCCCCCCCCCACCTGCCATTTTTGGCTTGGATGATGATCAAATGCCTGTGGGTTGCTCAAGGAGAAGGGAGGGAATGTTGAAGCTTTCAAAGTGATTGTTTGATTATAATAGAAAGATGACGGTGATGAAGATGGTGATGATGATGATGGTACCTATGATGCAAACTTACACAATGGATGTCATATAATAATCAAATAAAGTCTTAACTTATTATACCTTTGTGTTATTGCTTTGAACTTTTAGAAAAGAAAATAACAAAGGTTTCTGTGCTACAGATCCTCTAAATGAACAGCATATTGTAATCGTAGAAGAGAGTCATGACTGGCCAAATATATTTTAGAGTAGTCATACAGTGTATAATATATCCTCTTGAAACTGGTGAAATAGAAAAAGTTCTAACAATAACTGAAGCTGAAGCTCAACACAGCTCACCTCGCAAAGTGTCCTCATCAAAATCTGGTGCATTTTCTTTTTCAGGTAAGTCTTCATTTTCACATGGAACTTTAATTGGACTTCTTTCTGTTGCCATAGCAACTGTAAGAAGACTGATGCTTCTTAGAAAGGTGCTGCTTTAAGTTATATTGGCCTGAAAGAAAGTTGGTTGCAGATGGTAATAAACATCAGCTCAACATATTACCCAGTTGTAAAATAAATATTTTTTCCCTTCTGGGAATGTGACGGATACACAGACACAAAATCCCGAGCAATTAATATCATACTATAAAAGCAGCAAAAGAACAAAGATATATATATATAATATAATTCAATATTTATAAATACATTTGCAATTGACTGAAATAAATTGGGCAAGTGTTGCAAGTTCATATAATTTGTTACAACAGCAATTCAAATTATTTAAGAGGCTGTGGGTAAAGTCTGTATTTGAGCAGTGGCCCATCAAGGCCATGAGCTTATAATACTGGTTTCCTCACATAAAATGAGTGGGAGTAACTACACCCCTTGGATGGGATGCCAGTCCATCCCCTCTCCCCCTAGCATTTCATCAGGCTTACCTGGCTAATTTCTGCTACACATTTAAAGGTAAACTTTACTCAGATACCAATTTATCATTACCAGTTGATGAATTGGATTCCTAAAAATCAAATGCAGTTAGTTGAAAGGACGCTTCCAATAAATCACTAGGTGACATGTGAAGAAAAGTCATCGTGTATTTAACAGTGAAATCAGTATAACAGTTCAGTTAAAAGGGAGAATCTAAGCAGTCTATCAAAAAGGAAAAAAGGTACTTTTAAACTATATAAAATAATAGACATGAACACGTGAAATACGCGGGAAATTTTTATAGTTTTTTGATCAAATGCATCGTTAATACGGGAGCACATTAAATTAATACTTATGTGAGCCTGATACGAAAGCTAGCTAGTGCAAAACACGATCATGATTGTGTGCATGACACGTACACAGAAACGAAACTGTAAGTGTTCCGATCATCACCGCCTGCACAAAATCAAATCCATGACTTCAATATTCCTTTTAATTCTCCCGAATTACTTATTTTATCCAAGGTAAATGCCAGGTATTGCCTGCGAACTTTTGTGAATTCGACAGCTGTAACTTGTTCAGACAAGCTCAGCTTAATGAGCTTATCAGTAACACGAAGCGGCAACACAATTCATACATGCCAGAATCAAGTAAAAGTTAGCAATCCTCGTCAGTTAACTGCAGGAACGTCTTCCATTGTCGGAAATCAGCGAAATTTGAGACAGATGAGGAACATTTGAAGGAGAAAATGTTAACTGAGAAACTCGAAATAAAAGTATTTTCCTTATATTCAAAAATCTGACTCAACTATGCGTTAATTCTTACCTCTGTCGCTGAAATGGAAGGCACGTTTGACTGTCTCACGACTTTGCTTCCTCAATCCGTCATAGAAATGTTTCAAAGAAAGTCACTAAGACTGAGAAAGTACTAAGAAAGACTCTAACGTTATGTTATAGAACGAAGAATCGCAATGGCGTGTTGTGAAAATGAAAGGGGGAGTCCCTTGGCCCATAAGTCTGTGCAAGCTTGAAGCCGGAAGTTCTTCAACCGAAATTGAAAGGAGAGCCTGGTCTCGAGGGAAGCAATTAGTTTCGTTTTCCCAAGAGTCCAGATGTTTCCAGAGCCGAAGTCGAGGGAAACATCAGGACTCTCGAGAAAACAGAACTAACTAGTTTCCCGAGGGACCATACATTAAGTGCTTTATTGTGTAATTAGACTTTACCTTAAACAATCATATGGTAAAATAAACAAAGACGACACAACTTCTGTATTCACAATCGTTAATCCTGCTGAATGAATAAGTCTTAACTTAATTACAAATGTTTCAAAGTACATGAAAAGTAAAATATGCTTTTATAACCTCAATAAGGAATACAAAATCATTTGGAATTGTAAAAATTGATGGTAACGTTTGCTCCAGAAAATATATTAATACTGTTGTATTCGGCGCGCGGGGGATACATTTGAATTTGATCAAGAGCACGTGACCAAGAATTAACCAATCACAGTGCTCGTTTTCATGAGTGAAAGTCTAGGAAAATTAAATATTTTTTCGCAGCTGACCGGTTAAACGGATTTTTTTTACTGTACAAAATAACCAACTGTACAGATGTGGTATAAATATTCGCGTCATTTAAACTCTACCTTGTGCAGTTGGATTATAAACCAAATTATCTTGTTGTACCCCTCACCGACGCAGCACCTCAGTTTCCTTAGAAACTAAACCCATTTATTCATACGTTGTTAATTATAATGCCTGCCGCTGGTGCGAGGCCAAAAACAACCAAAATATACTTAATAGACTGCGCTTGGAGTAGATATCTCCAAAAATTCAGCATACTTTGTATGCATACACCTTAAAACTACTGAAGTAATTCTCGAGCGCTTTACATAACAATATTCTCTCACTTTAATACGATCTGATTAGTTATACTTTATGTGAATATTTTTATCATTTTTGCATGTTTCCTTAGCACTATACACACTTAAGGGGGCCCTCTGGTTGAAATCCAACAGTAAAGAAGGTCATAACTAGAACAGTCACAGAATCATAATCATTAATAGTAAACTGCTGAAAATTGGCAGGAGGCAAGTACATGACCCTACCTACCAGCCAACAAGTAAAGTTGACCAGGTTTGTTTATTCCTAGTAAATAATAAACAAAAACAAAAACTCTATCATTTTAAACTATTCTTCTGCCCCCTCAAATTCAAAGCTCAAAATACATCCAATTGGGCTGGTTTTAAGCATCATGGATCTACTTACAAAGCACTACAAACCTATTGAGCAAAATCGGGTTTCAATCATTAATGTTGCCATGGCAACGAATTCATTCCAAGAAAAGATTAACTCCTCAAAACTTCAACACTTTTCAGTCAAACTGAATTTTGCTCAATAGGTTTGTAGTATGTTATGTCTCAAATATTTGTGGCAAATTCGGAGCTGTTAGCACAAATACATCCTGAGAAATTTAAGGGGGCACCCAAATAATCATGAAAAACCCATATTTGCAGGAAATGTGATTTAAAAGGAAATGTTATGGAAACATGGGTTCAAGTTAGCTTTTACAATAAAAAAACACAGTGTGTTGGTAGAACTGCTTTAAAAGAAATATCCCTAAAGTTATTTTTTGGTCTTCTGAGTAGTTTTCCTCTTTTTGGGTCCATTACAAGGTTCTATTTCTCCAAAAGCTCCAGCTGCATAAGTTACACCCTCGCCACGAATCCTTAGATCTTCATTATGCTGTTTAGCCTGTCTCCTGGAAACTCTGTATTTCTTGTGCTGATCTTGCACTCTCTTCTCTGCTTGTTTAATTCTCTCTGAATCCCTTCTCCTAGCTTCCATTTTGGCAGTATCACTCACAGTGAGCCCAACCTTCTCCATTGATACCAGGCGATATCCTTCAGCAATTTCCAGATCATCTGGAATACTTTCATCCCACAGAGACGTATCAATAGCACAAGCGCCGATTTTTCGCGCAGAAACCGGGATTGCAGGCGGTGGAATCATTTCGCTTACCACGTCATCTTCACCGACGAACGTGATATTTACCCTTCGTTCGCTCGTTGCGCTTGCCGCTCTTTTCGCTTGTTTTTGAACTCCTTTGAACCCTTTACGCTTTCTTGAAATTCCCTGCTTTAAAACAGACTGCTTTTTCCCTAGCTTCGGCATAATTTAACCCTTTATAAACTGAATCAATAAACTGTGAAATGCTACGCATAGATCAACAAAAGTGACTTGGACAAAATTCGTTAGAGCTCCTTGTAACTCAGTAACCAGGCCTCAAAAGTAACTTCTAGGAATCTGGAATGAACTACGGTCTGTTTCCAAACTCAGGACCGTGGAACAGCGTTAACGCCTCAAAAAATAATTCGGGAAAAAGGCTCTTGTTTTGAATTGGTTACCATGGCAACGGAAAAACAACGTTCAAAGAAGGCCACTTTTTGACTCTGCAAAGTAATTTA